TCCAATAAAACTCTCTTTTTTAGTTCAACTCGAATAAAACTCTCAATAATGACCCCCCATATCAGTGGACACCATCGCGGTGATGGCAGCAGTGTGAGCGCTTGTTCGTTTTGCTAAAATTTGACTTATGTTGATGTTTATGTTGAAACTCCGTGAAAGAAAAATATCGTTCGTTTACTGAAAAATAGTACTGAAGCAGTGCTGAAGCAGTACAGAACTTGTTCGGCTCAGTTGCAGAGCCCACTCGCACTCAGCGGGTACGAATGCCAGTGGGCTTCCGATCCCGTGCTTAGCAAAGGGCCCAGTTGAGTTCTTCATCGAGCTGCCCAGGTCCCATATATTCAGCCCGTTCGCTGGTTGGTTTCTGGGCTGATAAGTTCGGTTGGTGCTGGTTTGTTGTAAAAGAAAAACACTGTACCATGACTGATAAGCCCTGGCTGAAACTAACAAGCGAACAGACTGATTGATGTTTCATCCGTCCAAATGCAATGAACACAAACAGAGTTCAGTTTTGCAGGAGCTGCTCTGATTCTTGCTGCAAGATTAATATGGCGATCACGCTCACGCATTGCAAAGACATGACCTGGACTGGTTGAGTTCCATGCCTTCTAGTTCCAGCCATAGGGAGCTTCTATGTAAGGAGGAACCGGCACCTTTGATGCATTTGCAAGTTTTTCTATATTTTTTTTCTGGGAAAAAAACTGGAGTTCAAGTTCTAACTGTTCCCATGTGAGTGAAAACTGAAAACTTAACCTTAGGAAATGGAACTGTTCCCATCACCGTTGTCAGTCACTGCACAAGTCAAGGCCTTGTTTAGTTCCCTCATTTTCCAGAATTTGACACTATGCAAAAAGAAGATTCCCCGTCACATCAAACTTGCGGTACATGTATGGAGTATTAAATGTTGATAAAATCAAAAACTAATTGCACAGTTTGGTTGTACTTTGCGAGACGAACGTTTTAAGCCTAATTAGTCAACGATTGGATAATTATTACCAAATACAAACAAAACGCTACAGTGTCCAACAGTACCGCTACAGTGCCCCAGATTCGGGCGGCGCCGATTCCGGGCACGAACTAAACGCGGCCCAAGAAGCAATCGGGGAGCAGAGCAGAGCTGCTGATTTCTGGGAAAGCAAAGGCATGCAGTGACAGCACCCCAACAGTTACTCCATCCATTCCAGAAATAAAAAAAATGTTTCAGCTTTTACCTATAAAAGACTAAATTTCATCCGACGCGCCCCACAGGCAGATCACTGTAGATCAACTGTACCGGGTATCGGGTCCGCGCTGAACAGTAACGGATCCGCTATGAACAGTCCCCAACCCCGAGAAGGAACAGTACCATCCCTTCTTCCCCACCCTCAAACGCTTCCTGTTGCCCGCGCGAAGGGCGGGGTTGCCTGCTAGTTTATAATAAGTACGTAGTGTGTTTAGATAAAAAAACAGAACGATATATAATTTGGAAGAGAATATTTCCTCCGTACTTAAAAAATGAAGTCGTTTTAGACAAGGCTTGGATCAAATATTGGGAATATAAATCATGAATGACTTTTAAGTTGTTGAGTTTGGAAATGTGAAAACCATATATATAAATTTGTCTTGAAAAATACTTTCACAAAAATTTACATATATCACTTTTTTATAAATATTATAAAAATAAGTAGTTAAAATTATACTCTGAAGACCGTGTCACTGTTCAAAACGACTTTATTTTTAAATATAGAGGACGTACTATTTACCAACAGCGTGTTGCATTGATCTTCGTTCGTTCGTGTCCTCCGATCCATTCTGCTTCCACGCGTGTCTGCAAACCGCTGTTATAAGAGCAAGTATAATAACAAAAGGTAAGTTGGCTAAATGTTAAGATGGAAAAGAGAGAAGAGGAGAGAGAAGATTAGCGAGTTGTAAGCTTATAGTCGGCTTATGCACAGAAACCTAGAAACTCTATGAGCAAGTGAGCTATATATTAATAACAAAGAGCTAATTATTATATGAGTGTGCTGAGAGAAAATTAAAAAAAACCTTACAGCCGGTATTATTAGCCTTGCTCTACACATATACGTGCAAGTCAGGCGAGATCCGATTCTCTTGGACCCCTGTTCCTGCTAATCATTTTACGACTTGAATACTAACCTGCTTGACAAATCATTCGACGTTCAGTCAAAAAAAAAATCCTCGACGACAATCAATTAGTCTCGGTAATGACCCCATTACGCCGCCCTCTGTTCTTTGTGTCTCGGTAACCATTCCGTCTCGGAAATGAACTACAATCTTCTTCCCGGAGTATGCGTAGCATGCACACCCGGTTTCATGTTTGCATCTCCTTTCTGCCACCACCACGTCTCTCTCTGAAGTCTGAAGACTGAAGAGACTGACGACGAAAGCTGACACCGTTCTGTTCCTTACTGTACGAGGTGTTGGGTAGCTTCTCCTAAATTTTAGTCATTGTCTTATCAAATATTTAACACATGCATAGAGTATTAAATATAGATTAATTGTGAAACTAATTACATAATTTGCGACTAATTTACGAGATGAATCTTTTAAGTCTAATTAGTCCATGATTTGACAATGTGGTGCTACAGTAAACATATGTTAATGACGGATTAATTAGACTTAATAAATTCGTCTAGTAGAGTACTGACAGATTCTGTAATTTGTTTTTTTATTAATATTCGAATACCCCATACAACACCCTCATACGACACATCTTAAATTTTAGTCACTGGATTCAAACACCCAACATCAGCTCTGGTCTAATGAACATCAGTTACTGCTGCCCAGTTGCAGTTGGCTTTGCAGTTTGCACAAAAGCACAAAACAACTCCCTTTTGTCCACAGTTCACTCAAGATATATATTGTGTTGGCAAGCTTCCCAATGACATGTTCACCACTCATGAAGTAGCTAACACAGATTGGCCATGCCCATATATATATATATATATATATATATGCAATGCAAGCCCCCTGTTTTCTCTCCAAAGACTGAAACATTCTTAGGGGTGTTTGGTTGCCCCTTCTAAATTTTAGTCGCTGTCTCATCGAATGTTTAGATACATGCATGGAGTATTAAATATAGACTAATTACGAAACTAATTGCATTGTTTGTGACTAATTTACGAGACGAATCTTTTAAGCCTAATTAGTCTATGATTTGACAATGTGGTGCTACAGTAAACATATGCTAATGATGGATTAATTAGGCTTAAAAATTTCGTCTTGTGGAGTACTGACGGATTATGTAATTTGTTTTTTTATTAGTATCCGAACACCCCATGCGATATCCTCCCGACATACCTTCTAAATTTTAGTCACTGGATCCAAACACCACCTTAATCGGCCATGCTACTGACTGTTCGGGTAGCTCTTCAAGCAACATGCGCAGCCTTGGTTACCTCATGTTGTCGCAAAGCTTCATTCCTTGGCTAGGTTACTTTGCAATGCAAGGCCGGCCGGCAAGCATTCAGTTCTTTGGTGTCGGAAACATGCTAGGTTACTTTGCAATGCAATGCAAGCCCACAGTGCGCAAAGGCAAAAGGGCGAGCAACCGAAAGGCGGTGCTCCCGTTCAAAAGAAGAGAAGCCCATCATCCATCAACTCTGTGTTGTGCTAGCAGCAGCAGCAGCAGTAGCTTGCAAGTCACTCCTTGCCTTCTTGCTTGGCTCTCCCACTGTCACTGTGAATTTTATTTTATTTTAGTACTACTACACATGCATCCGAAAGGAGGATGTAAACAGTAACAGCAGGAAGTTACCGAGGGATCAAAGCGTCTACGTATGGTTTGCTTTAGACAGTAGGAGTAATCAAAAGATTAGATTCGGGCGGTCGCAAACCCCGAGGCTAATGATAGTTTAGTTTAAATAGCTGGAGACTAGAGGCTAAGGGAGTCAGAATAAGGGCATCTCAGTCAGTAGGCTCTGTATTGCATTGGAAATTCTGCATCAAGGAACAGTAACTTTCTTTTTCTTTCTTTTGAGATTGTAGCTACTATGTAGAAAATGAAGAAATTCAGGAGAACCTACTTATTTATGTTCTTTAGAAGAAAATTTCCCTTGATCTGAGCCTCATTTCGACACAACACAACCCTAGAAAGAAAATCCCTGCCATTGAATGGAAATGCAGTTTACAGCAATACTTGCCTCCAAGTAGTACTGGCACTATATTAGCAGTCAACTAATGATGATAGGGCAAGGGACACTCACAGTTTTTAAGTACAGGAAGATTAAACAATGTCAGTGGTGGTAGTCGGCACTGTCAGAGAGTCAGTCAGGACGCCGTGAGATTTGGTAGTGTCAGATGTCAGTCAGATTAGATGGAAGAAGCAACAAGTAGTAGTCACGGAGCAGTTAGCTAGTAGTACTACTACGCCTTTGTTCTTGTTCGCCTTGTTCGCTGGACTGATAAGCTCGATCGACGCTGATTTATTATGAAAAAAAATACTATTAACTGACTGATAAGCTCTGGCTTTGAACAGGCTGATTTCAAGAAAGCAGGTTCTGTCACCCCAAGACAATGCTAATTCTGTTTTTTCAAACGAACATGGTGATTCTAATCGCCTTGGTACCACATCGAAAACTTAAGAAAACTACTTAGGAAATAAAATTAAGGAAACGAGAGCTGTTTATATTTCAGGGTCTAAATTTCCAGGTAACAATTTTACAGCATCAACTAGTATAATTAAAAAGACAGCTCATAAGAGATAATTTATATTTTTTCTATAAACAGATAATAATAAAACAGAATTGCATGCTACCTGAATAATAACAACAAAAAATCAGACGTCTGAAACACTCGAGAAGCGAAAGAAAATGCTTTTGGCAAGATAATGCAGTGCCAATTGCCAAACCGAGCTAAGCTAGCAAAAGCAAAGGTTAAAGCACAGAGTAAAGAGCTCCCTGAGAGGTCAATACTGAAGAGCTCCATAAATTACTCATTCAAGAACACCCATTTGATCTCTCACTCTCTCTCTCTCTCTCTCTGTCTCTTTCTCTCTATCCATGGATTCATTTGCATGGGCGTCTGTGTCTCAGGCTGCGGGGCTAGCCGGCGGCAGCGCCGTCGTCTCCGACGGGAGAGGCGGGGGGCTCTTGCCGCCGCCGATGCTCGGGCTCCAGCTCCCGGCACAGGCCGGTCTCGAGCACTTCATGGACCCCGGCCTAGTCCAGCTGGCCATGCGCTTCTCCTGCTTCGCTGCTGCAAACGGAGCACCCACTGCAAGCCCCTCGTACATCACCTCCGAGGAGCACCCACTGCAACCCACCACCGGCAGTGGCAACGGCGAGCCGGGGTTCGGCGGCGGCGGCGACGCGCCGAGCGCCGAGGCCTGCTCGTCCAGGGCACCGGAGGCGGATTCCAACTCCAAGAAGAGGAAGCGATCGAACGAGGTAGTTGCTTACTGCTCACTAGTCACTACTACTACAGTGCTAATTGGTTTGCACCGGCCGGTGTCTCAGCGTTGTTGTCGGATCGCAGTCGCAGGACGTTCTTGGGATGATTGGGACGGATCAAGATCAAGGGATGGCGTCCGTGGATTCTTCGAAGGAGCGTGGCGAGGACGACGCCAAAGGCAAGGAGGAGACGCCGCCGGTGACCCGCAAGAAGAAAGGGAAGGGAGCTTCGGCGGCCGACGACGAGTCGGAGTCGTACATCCATGTCAGGGCCCGGAAGGGGCAGGCAACCAACAGGCATAGCCTCGCAGAGAGGGTAGGCACAGTACACACAGATTTAATTTGTTACTACTACTGTTGCAAATAGATTTGGTGTTCTTGGAACATACATGTGTTGTAGAATGCAAGCAACTGGTCACCTGGATGAATTAGCTTTAGCACTTGAAAATACTCCTGAATGATGAACACCAAATTTGGTTCTTTTTTGACAGCTGAGAAGGGAGAAGATCAGTGAGAGGATGAAGGTTCTGCAAGACCTTGTTCCTGGTTGCACTAAAGTGAGCCTCCTGACCGCAAGAACAACTATACTTACTTTTCTGAAATCAGAACTTAAGAATAATGACACCTTCTTTGGGCCGGGTTGGGTTTGGATCGATTTAGGTCACTGGGAAGGCGGTGATGCTGGACGAGATCATCAACTATGTCCAGTCCCTGCAAAGGCAAGTGGAGGTATGCATGGTTCATCTTGAATCTCATATACTGAAAGTCTCCCTTTCTCATCTGACAAAGGCAATGTACTGAACAAATGCATGATTCCCCTTGCATCTCCCAGTTCTTATCCATGAAGCTCGCGGCGGTCAATCCACAGCTCGGCCTCAACATAAAACAACTTCTGTCGAAAGATGTAAGCAATCTACAAACTCACCTGCAGTTCTTCCTTGTTCTCTTTTTTTTTTTTTTTCAGTTTTGCAAGAAACGGGCACCAAAATTACAAAATGATTCTGTATCCTTAATTTGGTGGAATGCAGCTTTTTCGCGCCCCCAGTGCTCCTTCAAGCTCATCTACTCACCTGGGATTCTCAATCTACCACGAAATGATGCCCAAACTACCGCCATTGTCACGGTCAGGCATGCTCCCGGGAGGCGTTCATGGTTTGACCAATCCAGATGGCTTCAGAACAGCCATGGAGGAGCAACAAAACGGCAAAGATTCCATAGGAGATCATGTCTCTCAGGTTTGCATAGCAGAATCCCAGCGTGTTTCAGAGTACAAATTTAGAGCAATTATGCATTTGCAATCAGGTTGGTTTTCAAGAATCCTAACCAAACTTTAGCCTCTTGAGCAGATGCCTCTCACTTTGGACGGATCGTTCCACCACAATGCAGTGCAAACGGCGGTGTATGGGGCCATAGTCGGTCCAGAGCATCTGAGCATGAGGTCTGTTCAGGATGGGTTTCATATGTGAAGTTCGGCACAAGCTCCAGCAGTCCAGCTCCATGGAGGATCAGAGTTGCTTCTGGTCACCTGACATGTGCCGTGGAGTAGAGAGGGGCAAGGCACATAACTAGCATTTGTGCTATGGAGTTACTGCAGAGTTCAGAGGCAGGACAAGCTTGATTCCTCCATGAAATGTTAGCATTGCTTCATGGTTGTAATCAGAGCTGAAAGTTCAGACACCGGAAGTAACTCTGCTGCAGCTATGAATTTATGATGATGTTGGAAACCCTGTCCGGGTGGAGTGTGAAGTGAAATTTGTGTTCTTGAAGAGAAACACCTGAAAATAGACACAGAATTGCTGCATTACAGGATCTTACTGGCAGCGTATTGTTTGTGTTTTTAGTTAATAATACATAAATAGCTAGTTAGCGAGCAGCACTAAAAACATTGTGTTCAGATTAAGCCCTCAGCTGTTAGTTTTTTTGTGGTAAAAGTGTTAAACTATGACACAAATGCTCTTACTGATTCAAACTGCTGGTCCTCTGGGAAACACTTGGGTCCTGCGCCTGACCTGAACGCCCAAAACAGCAGCCGCCGGGCCGACGCATCCGCATCCACGGGGAGCGCTCACGGGTGGGCTCGCGGGGCCCTTCGTCGTCGCCGTCGACCTCCTCGCGCCAACCCACCGAGCGGAGGTACATGGAGCACTGCGAGAAGGACACGGGGAAGCCGGTGTTCGCCGTCGGGCTGGTAGGAGTAGGGCGGGGCAGGGGTGGCGCCGGAGTGGTCCAGAGCAGGGGCAGCGCTGGAGGACCACCAGCAGGGGAGCAGGGGCGGCGCCGCAGTGGGGGAGCAAGGCTCGGGCGGCGGCGTCTGGACGAACGGGCAGAGCACGCCGCCCATGTAAAATCTTGGTGAAGGGCACAATAGCCATCCCCTGTTCGCGGTGGTATTTTCTTTCCAAAACACGCGATCTTTTTTTATTTTTTATGCTAGCTAGAGAACGAATTTTCCCATATTTCTTTCGGGTTGTCTGGGTTCTTCTCCTTGGACAAGGGTTTGGCGTGACCTAACTGGAGTTGAAGCAGTAATAACATCATGCCAAGAGCACCCTCTGTTGCACTCGCTGGAATATCCTTGCACGAGGCGCCTCCGTCGCCGGCGGCTACTTGCCTGCATCCGAATGCACAGCCATGTCGACGTCTACCTAACGTACGCTCCAGCTCCAACGAAACCCTTGTTGACTTGCTTGATTCGTCCATCCCTCGACCTCCCCTGGGTATGATTTGGCTGATCACACAACTGATCTATTAACATCAAATCGCAGTGCGAGACAGAAGACGTATGTGATCCTCAACGTCAAGTATCTGGCGAAGATGGTCAGGGAAGGCCAATCGCGAGACGCTTCCTGCTACCTAGGTGGTACGACTCGAGCTACGAGGGCAGGCTCCTCAATGTGTTCCTGTTTGACCTCCTTGCCTACAAGGCCTTCGCCGACGGCCGGATCAGGGTGATAGGCTACCTCTGCGACTGGCTCATGAGCATCTACAAGAAACCTGTGCTTGATAAGTATCCGTGCTTTGCCACGCGATGTCCTCTTCCTGCGCAAAGATCATGCCAGATCAAGTCTCTCTTAATTACCCTCTTGATGTGCTGCGACTGTGATTGATTGATTGAAATATGCAGCTAGCATGCTAACTTTCTGTGATGAACTACTACTGCGTGCAGTGCCTTCCTGGATTGGCAACTCGTCAGGAAGAAGGCAACGAAGATGGTCGAGGAGATGGCCTACAAGGCGCCCGAGCTCAGGGATAGGATGCAGTACCCGCGCAGCAGGAACAGCCTGTACCACTTTATACCCATTGGGTCCAAGTACGTATATATGTGCGCACTACTGTCTGTTTCTAGTTCTAGCACAATGGATTGATTTACTGGTCAAGTTATCTAATCTTACCTACCGTTCGTTGAAAAAAAAGGCGTCGCGTGAAGCATGTAAACCGGAAGCAGCAGTCAACTGATCTCGCCCAGTTCTATCTTCAGATGAAGAAGAGGTACAACATGCACATGAGCGGATACCCTCTTGCTGTTTCTGCTTGTTGTTTTTACACTAGTAATAATGGGCCTGCAATTTGTTTAGGCTACCTTCTTCTTTGAGTCCGGGGGCAGACCATAGCTATTCAGGCATTCTAGTGTCAACGGACATGTCTAGATAATGACATCTTTTTCTAACATCATATACACATGATAAAAAAATATATATTTAGCTCTCGATTCATACCATACAATTGCTCTGCTTCATGACTGAGTTTTTCAACTGCAGAATCAGCAAGGGTAGGAGGAGAGCCACTGATAGCTCTATTTGGTACGTACAGGGTACAGCTAGTTTTTCCTCTGTTGCATTCCTGTAATTATTTTGCTTACCAATTTACATGTTAACCAGTGTGCTAACGAGATTGAGTGAAACCTAGTTTTACCAATTAGTCTGCCTGAAAGCTACTTTTCCCCTTTTGAGTGAGTTTTGTTGTTTTCTGTCTTATTTATTTGCTCCTATGCCTGTACATTTTCGTCCTGATAGATGTTATTATTGGCTTGATAGCATAAAACACCATGTATGTTATGATTTGAATTCGATCCACATGCAAGCTAACGAAACAGCAACGGCCCCAATTTAGTTTCAACTTCTAGTTATTTTGCGAAGTCACTTTTGACTTGCTTCTATATAATAATGACTGGTAAACGCTTGTGGTCTTCAGATACATGTTTTGAAGCTGGTAGACTTCTGGGGCTTGAGCAAGGGCAATTCCCTGAATTTTTGTCAAAAGAAGGTAATTTCGGTTCACCACTGTTAAAAACTAGCTTCATTTTTGAATTGCTGAGATTGTTTCTTCTCTGCAGACTTTCCGTACTTTCAGCATAAGCTAGCTCGTGGATGTGAGGTCATATCCGGTAAAAAAGTCAAACCTTCATCCAAACCAAGTAACGTGAATAATGTTTTCTGCAATTTTATCTAAGCTGTTATTTCAGAATGCTAAGCTTGTTGCTTCCTTGGAGATACGTCGCAGAGGCGTGCTGTTGTGGGCTATTCAGTAACTAACTCAGGCAAGTTGTACCAGATTTCGTTGAATAAATTGGGGCAAGCTTCCACCTTCTTTTGATCAGTTAAGTTAATTGTTGGAAGGTTAGATTTGTTACTGTGGGACGCCACTGCAGACGTCTGTTTAAAATTCTTTAGGCTTGTTAATTTCCTTAACTTTGTGATATTAGGCTATGTGCTGAATGGTTTGTGATAGATAATAGACTTGGTGCAACTATGGATGCAGAGGCTGGTATTAATTTTCATCCAGGAAAACTGCAAATGCCGCCATTGTGTTATTTTTGTCCTTATGAGTTTGTTGTTTTGGGCAGGCACAAAGGGCTCAAGATGCTTTCAGGAGTCTCAACTAGATACTGTGCATCCAGGAAATGATCCAAAGAGGCCACGGACTGCTGGAAATTTTGGGATGTGAGTCCATTTGAGTACTGAATTGTGATGTGTTCATCAGTAACGATGCATTTTGGCACATACAAATACACAGTTATGCAGCCATGTTTATACTTCTTTTTCTATTCTGTGTGATGTTCTATGCAGAATTAGATAGGCTAAGGGAGTCAGAATAAGAGCATCTCTGTACATTGCAAATTCTGCGTGAAGATTGATCGGGGAGAATCTGCGTGAAGAAACAATAACTTATTTCTTTCTTTCTTTCTTTCCTTTTGAGATTCTAGCTACTTAGAAAATGAGAGAGTTCAGGAGAACCTACTTATTTGTATTCTTCAGAAGAAAATTTGCCTTGAGGCTCAATTCAACTTTCAACACAACCCTGTAGAAAGAAAATTCCCGGCCATTGAATGGAAACGCAGTTTACAACAGTACTTGCCGCAAAGTAGCACCGGCGCTATATTAACATTCAACTAATGATGATAGGGCAAGGGACCACTCACGGTTGTTTACAATTACAGGCAGGCACATTAAACAGTGTCAGTGGTAATCGTCACTGTCAGAGTGTGAAGTGAATTTGTGTTCCTCAAGGAAGAGAGAAACACCTGAAAATAGACACGGATTGCTGCTGCATGGCAGCGTATTTGTTTGTGTGGTTATAGTTAATATATATAGCTAGTTAGCGAGCAGCACTAAAAAGACATGTTCAGATTAAACGCTCAGCTTCTACTCTATTCTTTTTACTTCTTATTATTCTTTTTTTTCCACCACAGCTCTTTGTAGATTTCTCATCATTATATTCATTGTAGGCTTTGCTATTCCATGGATCCCTTTTCAGATCAGTTTGTTGTGATTTAGTGTGAATGTTGATGATTTCGCATGCTCTCTGTTCGTAACATTATGTTGTCCATTGAAACTTGCTGAGGCGTTGCAACATATGGAATCATATTGGCTTCAATAACTTGAACCTCGTAAAACGGGTCATTTTCATCTTGGCATTCTACCCTGTTGATCACTGGGACATAAGCTGCTTGCAGTAAGCTTACAGTAAGAACGAAAGGAAACGATGAAGGAATGTGAAAACAGCTTCGGCAACAGCAACAACATACGAGTACCAGGCAATGGTTTCCTTATGGTCATCGTGCGTTTTGTATATATATATTATATATTTCATCATGGGTACATTAACTAATTCCTAAAATAAAGCCGAGTTGCCCACAACACAAACTGTTGATCTGATCTCCAAGAAGCTGTCTGTCAGTAACAACTATATAAAGGGGAGGGAAACAGCTGTGCACAAACTTCTTTTTTTTATTATTATATTGTGAGGGACATCACAATTTTGCTATGTAATCAGTCTCCATGCTTTATTGTTTTCCAAGGCCACTACTACCTCAATAAAATGTTAGTGGCCAGCAAGTCTACACCTACAAAAATTGCCACGGCAGGAACCCGTCTAGAAGTATCTGTAACCAAATAATGCTCTAGCCCATGGCCTTAATTTTACCCCCGGCACTGCTAAATATGAAGTTCTAACAAAAGATGTCCGTGGGAGAACTCACTAATCCCTCCATGGGTCGCTCTCGGGTCTAACTTCCGAGGGCTCAATCACCTCTGTTACGGTGCCTTCAGATGAATCTGCCTCTGCGCTGGCCTCACCTGTTGATACCTCGGCCTTCTCCGTGTCGGACCTTCCCCATCTCCCACCCAGGGCAATCGCCATCATCTCATAGATCTTGCCACCCAACTCAGCTGGACTCTCTGGCTGGAATTATGACAAACATTCCAACATTTTAATAAATGATTTTCACCAAGACCATCAAAATCCGTAAATGTATTCCATTGTACTTACAGTATATCCACTTGAGATTAAAGCAGCCTCATATAGGAGCTCAACAGCCCTCTTGGCTTCTGTGCAATCGGGCTCATTTTTGCAAGCAGCCTGCCAACAATAATTTATCATTCAGATTAGTTACTTCATATAGCTCAAGCACATTAATTGTTCTTAAGCTGGACAATTGATTCCCAAGGGGTAATGGTCTTACACTCAAATCCTTGATAATTGGGTGGTCGGGATTGATTTCGAAAATCCTTCTTCCCCTCATGAATTCCAAGCTTGATGTGTCACCAAGTGTTTGCGCCTTCATGAGCCTGTCAGATTTTGAGAAATACATATGTATGAGGAAACAGATAATGACTAAACAAAGCAATGGCTTAACAACAAACTTACCTTTCCATATTGGCGGACCAACCGAACTTGCCTGATACAAGAACACATGGAGATGAACTTAAACGCTTTGATATTTGGACCTTCGCAACCTTGTCACCAAGCTGTTGCTTAACCCAATCGCATAGGAGAGTAAACTCCTGCTTGGTTTCTTTAGTCTCTTCCTCTTCATCACCTGCGACAATAAATAAAGATATCTTCAATTCAATGCGATGGAAGTAATCAAACAGTGATAACCACTCTGAGCAAGCATAAGCATTTTCTCACCCAATTCCAGATCCTCTTTGCTGATATCCACAAATTTCTTCTCTTTGTAGGTCTGCAAGTTCTGAATGGCAACCTCATCTATTGGCTCAATAAGGTAGAGAACCTAATAAAAAAAGCAAGCAGTACCCTGAGCCAAAGTATGAAAAGAAGAAAGAACATGTCTCTCTCATAGTCAATAGTGTCTTTACGTTAAAAAAAAAGTCAATTGTGTCTATGTCAAGTACATACTTCAATATCTTTTTGGACCAGCTTCTCCAAGAAAGGAGCAGTCTTTGCACTCTGGAGACTATCTGTAGCGATGTAGTAGATTGCCTTTTGACTTTCAGGCATGCTCTCTACATATTGATCAAGACTTATCGTATCTCCCTCATTTTTAGAAGAGTGGAAGCGCAACAATGGGGCAAGGCGCTTGTGATTCCCTGTGTCCTCAATGCAACCAAGCTTAATAAACTTGCCAAAGCTCTCCCAAAACTTCTTATAATCCTACAGAACAAATTAAAGAACATCAATATCAAGTAAAAAAATTAACTAGGAGCAAACTAAAGGTCCGGTTGTACCTCCTTATCTTCCTTTTCGGCAATCTCTTCAATCATATCAAATGTCTTCCTGACAAGTCGCTTGCGCATAATTCTTACCTGAACAACAAAAAACATAAGATTTTCTCTAAATATATCGACAGTAAGAACCTTCCGAATATAAAATTTCAAAGGGGTAGAGGAAAAACTGGCAGGTGTTTCACCTGTTACTTACAATTCGACTTTCTTGAAGAATCTCTCGAGAAACATTGAGGGGAAGGTCATTTGAATCCACCACACCTTTCACAAAGCTCAAGTATCTTGGAAACTGCAAGATGCACGCTAAAATGAATAATCCGTTCCATCTCAATCGATGGATAGTAGAAAATAATAACAATATATTATTAGTGTTGCAAGATAGTGTACCAGTTCACCATCGAAGTCATCGGAAATGAAGACTCTTTTAACATATAGCCGGATATTTTTGGTCTTGGGATTCATTATCTCCTCATTACTAAGTGGTGCCATGCCTGGAACATAAAGAACACTCCTGAATTCCACCTCACCCTGTTTATAGAAAAGATCAATTTATTGACTATATACAATGTACATGAATTTAAGTGTTTCACAGAGTTGTTTAATGAATTCACACACCTCTGTTGTGAAGTGAGTGTGGGCAAGAGGGTCCAAAAACTCATTGAATGTCTTCTTATAGAACTCATTGTATTCAGTGTTCTCAATTTCCCTTGGATTTCTCATCTGCATGGAGGGAATAGAAATCAACTGTCTGTTTTCTTCATTAGCCCTTACTACCTTGGAGACCAAAGTGATCACAAGTACCAGAAGGGTGCTGTTCTAAGTATGAACAGGCAATAGTAACTCCAGACTTACCCATATGGGTTTTGTTTCATTGGCTAGTTCCCAGTCCCAATATTTCTCAGTAACAGTCTTCTTCTTCTTCTTTTTCTCACCCTATATGTCAAAGTATGCCTAATCAGTTGCAAAAGAAGCAAGATTCTACAAACATAAGGAAAACTAGGAGTCCATTCAGAAAAACTAACCTCTGTTGCCTCTTCACCTTCTTTCGGCTCTTCATCCTCTTCAACCTGTCAATCAAAGGGGGATTACATCAGTGAAATAAATGAAAAGACAATACACATTCATAGATCAAAAGAACTGGTATGGTCAAGAGAAGTAAGAAGCTTTGTCAAGACCCTACCTCAACAGTTCTTGATTTCTCCTGCCATGTGTATATGGGGAAAGACACAAACTGAGAGTAGTTTTTTACTAAGCCCTGAATCCTTGAAGGGTCCGCAAACTCGTACTTATCATCAGGCTATACAAGACATATTAACATAAGGTTGCTATTAAGAAAAAGCATTTCCTGGCATATCAGAAGAACATAGCAACATACCCTTAGAAACAGAGTAATCTGAGTTCCACGTGTAAGCATTTTCTCAGGATCAGTCTCTTCCTTGATGATATAAGAGCTACTGTCAGCCACAGCTTCCCACACATACTGTTTATCTGATTTTGGACTCTTGGTGGACACCACAATCTGCAATGTGGGTTTGACAAAATGTCAACTTAAATAATGATCTAAGCCAGTGCAAAACGAGAAAAAGCTCATTCCATGTAAAATTATTTAAGAAAAAAAAAGAGCATCCAAGAAATATCTCAAACCTTCTCTGCAACAAGAAAAGCTGAGTAAAATCCAACACCAAACTGACCAATTAGACCATTGTCCGCCCCAAGGTCTTTGTTTTCCTGAAGAGCAATACATTTTGACATTAAGGAAAAAGACAATGAAACAATCACATAGACACTACAGCATTTAGGCCATAACCATATCCCATACTCATAGATGTATGCACAATTGTCAAGGAAGGTATGATGCTGCACCTTGAGGGCCTTCAGAAATTTTGAGGTACCACTCTGAGCAATGGTACCAAGGCAGTCCTTGAGCTCATCTTTAGTCATACCAACACCAGCGTCACTATTGAAACCAATAGCCACCAGAAAGTCATGCCATTAGAGTCTGTTCACAGAACACCAACAAGTAGTTCTGTCATTAACAGGAACTTACGTGATAGTAATCGTTCCAGCATCAGGGTCAGGCTTAATCCTTATTTCCAGCTCACCGCCATCAGCGAGCAAAGAGGAATCAGTCACGCCGAGAAACCTCAGCTTATCCAATGCATCACTTGCGTTGCTGGTAGAGCAGCAGATAAGTAGAATCCATTAATAATGGCATCGAATGAATTGCCATAGGTTTCCAGGTTCCAGCAAAAGGTACTGACCTAACAAGCTCGCGGAGAAATACCTCCTTGTGACTGTATAGACTATGGACGATCAAATCCATTAACCGGCTCACCTACAAGGTAGAACAGAAACAAACATACATATTTCAGTAACCAGTGGTCGCACACAATCAAACTCGGTCATACTTTGGCAACATTTCTGCTGAACTGTGGGTAACCTTATCACATTAATTCAACCCCTCAAAAAATTCTCAAGGTGTACGGACGAACGTCAATTAAAAATTCCATCTGAAATTACAGATATATATGGACCGTGCCCATGTCTCACCTCCGCCTGGTACTCGAACTTCTCCCCAGACGCCTCCTCCCCGGCGGGCTTCTCGGCGACGGCCGCATCGCACCTCACCCTGAGCGACCTCCCCCTGCTTCTGTGGGCCTCCCACCTGAGCCCTCTGGCGCACCTGACCGCCCCGCTCCCCCGCGGCGCAGCCGAGGTCGCGGCGGACGGCGCCCTCCTGCCCGCGCAGGGCCGCAGCGCCGCCACCGACGACGCGCCCAGAGTCCCGCTCAGCGCCGGAGCCATGGGATGGGAGACGGTGACCGCGCACGCCACGAGCTTGCGCGCCAACGTTCGTAGAGAGGGAGGGGGAGAGGGAGCAGAAGAGGATAAGGGATGTGGGTTAGGGTTTTTGTACTAAGCTGTGGGAGGCCGGAGGGTTCAACAGGAGGTAGGAGATGAGATGAGGCGCGGCCGAAGCTTCTAGAAGCAGCCTGGCCCGAACACTGTCACTGAGTCATTGTGACTGTGAGCCGGGCCTCTTTTTTCTGCTTTCATAGGCCCAAATAGGCCTCTTTCTTCTGCTTAGGACCATTTATCGAAATGTCATGAAATCATACGTGATGATTGTAGCCAGCTCAGGGCCTGTTTGCAACGCAGGAACGTGCTTTTCCTTTCAAATTGAACTGATTCCTGTGAAATTTCTGTGTGATTCCTGTGAAATTCTTGCGTTCTAAACAGGCCCTCAGTGTTGGAAGCTACTCCTGTCCAATAAAAATATGCACCTCACTTCTCAAGAAATTAAAATATTTTCAAATTTAACTAAACATATAAAAATACTAATATCTATGGTGTGTAATAAATATTATTGGATTAATCGTCAAATATTTTTTATAATAAACTTATTTAGATATACAAATGTTCATACTATTTTCTACTTGAAGGTTTGATTCTTCACGAAGCGAGATATTTTTGGACGGAGGGTGTATCTTCCTTGCTGTTGCTGGTAACAGACTAAGCAGTCTCTATCCGGACAGATCACAGCGTTGTGTTCTGTGTGTGTGTGTGTTTACAAGCTAGCTTCAAGCAACGTAACGTATACAAGTGTAAAAGAGAATCAGAAGCTGACATAAAGATCGTGCTATATTTCTCTTTACTGTTCGTGAACATCTTATGATTAACATTCCCATCACGCAGTCTTCTTTTATATCTAAGCAACAAGGGAAAAACACTGACACTGACAGCAACCAGAAACCCATTCCATTCATCGACCTCGGCTAAGCTCACCGCTGTCAGGAGGCTCTTTGAAGCAGTCGACATTGCACAGACCCATGGCTCTAATCTTCTCTCCGATCCTGCACAAGAACAATGAGAAAATATTTTAAACTTGTAGGGGAAAGAATGACTGACGGGGCTGAATTTTCCTCATCTCGACTGAAATAAGCAAATTGCAATGGCCATGACACGACAGCGGAGGCAGAAACCAACCTATCAAAGCTTTTCCTTGGCTTTTCCGGCTGCTCATGTTCGAGGATGCTGTCGAAGCAGTCCACGCTCCTCCTCGATCTCCTGTCTGTGCTGGACCTGGCCTTCTCCCTGTGGCCCGTGCTTCGCCTGCGCTTATCTACGTGCTCGGTGCTCAGCGTATGCTCTTCATGGATCGTGTTCTTCTTCGATGGATCTAGCCTTCGCGAGATCATGCGAGAAGGAGCCTCAGAGATGGCTTCACTGTCAGGCTGCGTTCTGTTTTCAGCTGCCGATGTCTCATGCTCATCTTTTTCAGATGGCAACTTCTTTATGGTCGATAAGAACTTCTTCAGATGTCGTATGTACACTGGGAATTTCTCCAGGTTGCCGTGGTCACCTCCCTCAATCCACAGAGGTTCATACTTGTGCTGGCACAGCTCCCAGAGCCGCTTGCCATGGGAGCAGTCGACGACGTCATCTTTTGTGCCCTGGAAATGAAAATAATGATCCAGTTTATTAATGATCTGAAGCTAGTTGAAGAATACTACCACGTAGATGTGTATAAAGAGCTTACATGGATTACCAAAACCGGGCATTTAACATGGGGGATTTTGTCGATGTTCTGCAAATGGAACAAGTGTTAGCATATACAGGATGTAAATCATTCATCTTGATACTTCAGACAGAGAGGCAAACCTTGTATATGTCAAACCAGTACGTTTTCTTCACAGAATACATGACACGCAATCCAGACAGTATTGGACTGTGTAGAACAACAGCTCTTACGCGATCGAAACGAATAGCTAAATCAAGGGTTGGTCCGCTGCCAACGGACTGACCATACAGAACAATGTCTTCTTCCCTAGTTCCATAAACGTCCACAAGGCACTTGTATGCAGCCTCTATGTCAGCAAAGGTATTAGCTTCACTTGGCTGAACATGTATTTTACAGAAAGATTGTGTTAGCACTGTTGTTTTATCCTAAAAATGGTTCGACTGCTAAAAAGATGAACTAGTTCAGAACAAACGTCCCCTGAATCAAACTCACTCTAGCATGAATCAGTTTCAAAGCCTCTTTTGTAACAAGAAAGGCCAAGAATAATGTTGTGAGGTGCCCCTCGACTGAAGGTGACATGGTACCGTAAGAGCATAGTTTTAAAAAAGAACAGAGATAAATTACCTTGCCTGATGACTGCCCATAACCAGAGTAATCATACCTGCGAAGAACGATGGAATTATTCTAAGACAGGCAACTTCAATCGTCAGAAGGGCATGACAGAGAATTTGCTAAAGCTTCAAGAAGGACATAGATTTATTTACATGGTTCAGCAAGAACGAACGTCAATGAAAATGTCCATATCCAAAAAAAAATATTCACAATGCACTAGTAAAATATTGCAAAGAAAATTTGAATGTTTGTGGGCGATGGAAATGAAATCTAGAATAAATTTTATGATCATACTGCAACGTAACATTAACGAGCCCTTTTACAATGGTTAAAAATGCTTCCTCACGCTTGCTGACGCTTCCTGAAGCCTACCCAAAATAGCTATTTTTATTGATTTTATTTGTTCAAGGGCATTATGGTCATTGCGCACACACCTCTCACTCCCCACCCCCGCCCTCCCGCCCCCCGCCCCCACGCCGAACTCGCTAGCACACACGTCGCTCTCGCCCTCGCCAAAGCCGCCGCCGCCGCCCCTGATCTCTCCCTCCCTCTAGCCGCCGCCGGCGGCCCTGCCCTGTTGTCGCCCCTGCCCCCAGCGCGAGGGCCACGGTGGTCGCCTCCGTCGCCGCCTTCCTCGATTCCGCCGGGTTTCCACGCACCCTTGCCGCCCTCCAGTCCGAGGCCGGTCTCGAGGTACCCTCTCCCCTTCACGGTGAGCACTCAAACCCACACCAACGGCTGCACTCTCCACTCACCCTCTCAGATTTGGATGTGTAGTTGTGGCAAATTAGTACATGTATAGCTCGTATTTGATTTGATTATTCCAAAATTAGGTTTTTGTAGATGGATAATTGGTGCTCCCGTTCCAGAATGTTTGCATTACTGAAGCATCACAAAATTATAATGATTTGAAATTTGGAATGTCTCTGCTGCAAGATTATGCTGCTAAGGTGCTACTAGTATATGTGGGATTGCCTAGGCCCAAATGTTGCATTACATCACTAGCTAAGCAACTCAGCCTAGGCCCAAATGAAGTGCGGAGATGAGATCATGTTTACACCCCATGTCGCGTGACTGAATATTTGAACAAGTTTGCAACTATACCGTTAGTGGTTGTTTGGATGAAGAGTTTATAGATTGGTTTAGATAAAACTAGTTTAACACTGAGTTTCCGCAAAACCTGTTCTGATTTGTTAATTAATTAAGATCATATTTACCGGAAATCATGTTTGGTACATAAAGTGGGTATTAATTATCCAGTTTTCAGTTTTGAGAAAAACAACTCCCGTTTCCACAAAAACCCATTATTTTGAGTTTTCAGGAAATTGGTTGTCTCCATCCTGGTTTTATGCTCACGTAAACAAACAATCTTTTTGGTGGTTAGCGGAAAAAACTAATCTAATGGAGACTGATTTTCCTACGTACCCAAACAACCTCTTAGCCTTTTTCTTAGGACCTGCTTTGGATGTAACTAAGCTCTGCACCGGAGTGGCCAAGCTGAATGCGAAACCCGCAATCGGTAGAATGAAAAGCACATACTTCTCCCTAGATGGCCACAGGGCCCGCGGCCCATCAGCACAGCCCATGGCCCGATGTTGGCCCAGGCGCCAGAGGGCGTGCTACATGGCGAGGTGGAGCGCGAAGGAGGGGGAGAAGGTGACGTGCGGCACGCCCAGCTCCTTGGCCAGCGGCTGCGTCCACCCCGTGAAGAAGTCGGAGACGACGGCCGTCACGCTGCGGCCGTGCCGTCTCTGCTCGTTGCACCAGGCGAGGAGACCATGAAGCATGGGCGGCGCTAGGGGTATTCCCCTGTATGCCATGGAATACACAAGATTCTGCAAACAAACACAAATACATATACATGTATACGCTTGTATATTTGCTACATTTGCAAATCTGACCGACTGGACCAAAGCCCCAAAGCCCAACAGACAGAAAGCAGCGAGCAACCCACCAAACAAAAAAAGGGTCGCATCGTTTTCCTGGCCGCCGCTCCTAGTTTCCCAACTTGCATATCAGCTCAATGTGTACATTTCTTTGGTGCGTAGAGACGAAAGGTTTAAAATTTTGAAGAACCTACGCGAGCTTTCAGTCATCTTGTTAGCACAAAAAGACATGAGCAGTATTATGTTGTCTACAAGCTTCTTAAGTTGGTGCTAATTCTTCCTATAGCCACTACTGGTGTTGGGAGAGTGTTTTCCACCATGAATTATGTAAAGAACAAGCAAAGGAATAAAATGGGTGATGAATATTTTGAACAATTGCTTGGTCATATTTATTGAGAGAGAATTCTTCAGTCAAGTGAAAGATGATGATATCATTAATGAATTCAAAAAGAGGATCGTAGAGTTCAATTTTAGTAGTTTTGAGCTTTTGATGTTTTATAATTTTTCTTAATTATTATAGACAATGACACTATGCTACTATATTCAGACCTTGTACTTTGATTATTACTATTGTATATTTACATCGATTTTTTTTACGCGGAATAACTAGCTGTGAAATCCTGGCTCCGCCACTGCCATGAAGGGCCGGAAGAGGTGGCGCGGGAGGTCCTTGGTGTTCTCGCCGCTCCCCGGCGGGAGCAGCGGCGACGACGGGAAGGGCAGCGCGAGCACGGCCACGGACGGGCACGCGCGGACCAGCGGCGCGAGCAGCGCGGCGTTGCCGGACGTGACGGCGACGGTGACTGCGAGGCCGCGCGCGGCGAGCTGCGCCGCAAGGTCCAGGAGCGGGAGCATGCGTCCCTGCGCCGGGTACGGCACGAGAAGCACGTGCGGGCCGCCGGCACTGTCGCCATTGCTCGCGAGGTCCTGCGGTGGCGGCGTGTGCGTGCCCATGGACTACTGGTGAAGGACAATGGATGGATCTGAACCCTTGGCCCTTTGGGTTACGACTCAGGTTAATAAATACTGGACCAAGGTAATTATTACTATTGGTTAATAAAGCCTTCCGTTGCAGTTCCTCATTTAGAATGTTTCCAAGAAAGAATACACGTCTCCTTTTTTCTATGTGCATTCTCAGAGTTTTATTCACAGTTCATAAGCTGTCACATAGGCATTTTCAATGATGTGATAACATTTTTAAGAAAAAGAGAAGAAATGAATTTCTTGAGCATCAAACTCTCTTGGTACAATTACCAACTCTTAACGAGTCATGTAATTAAATGCATATGCGTATCAAACCATACAATGAAACATTTCATTGAGAATGAATCTTCTGAAACTCCTCACTGATCGAAATAGTCAAAATTAGTATAAGTATATTCATCTTGGACTGAGGGAGCAGTACGTTACATCATGAAAGTTCACATGGCATGGATGGATAAAAAAGAATAGAAATCTGGGGAATCAAATAATCTCAAGATTAACTAATTCTATATAGAAATAGTATCAGCGTTTCTATCTTTAAGTAGGTTTATTATAAAAGTTTATTCCATAATTAATCAAGTAATATATATTTATTAGACATCATAAATATTAATGTTTTTATATAGTGTTTGATTATATTTGGGATCGTTTTGACTCCTCAGAAAATGAGCTTTTCATTACTTTTTGGAGAGGGAAAACAATATTTTCATTATTTATAGGAGAGAATATTTTTTATAAGTTCAGGTGGATGGGCTTGTCGTTGAAGAAAAAATGGAGACCCACTCGAACTAAAGCAGCAGGCCAGCAGATATGTTGCTTTTCAAATGACTGAAGCTTTTGTGCGGTTCAGTCAGTCAAATTCGTCCAGCTATCTGATTCATTTCCAACCGTGCTTTTCTAGTACCTGCACTTTCTTTTGACTGCTGCACAAGTTTGCAGTCAATACACCAACCATAGTAGGAACCAGGTCTGAAAATTTGAACTGGCACGTGTATGCATCGTCAACATTATGGATTCACCCGCTGTCGAAGCGTGGTTGGCGAAGAAGACGACCTGCAACTGCAACTAGTGCAAAACCATGTTGGTGTGAGCGTGACTTGTCACTTGTGCGTACGTAGCTTTTCCAGGTTCCACGGTTAGTCCTTGCCGCGCATCGGTCCTCCTCCGTCCCCCCGTGCTCTCCAAAAGGGCCAGTGAAATTTGAGAAAAGCGGCGACCACTGAGAGCAAGATTCTAGATGCTGATTCGCTGAAGCTCTCCAACTTGGCGCATGGCAATTTTATCTCCATTTTTTTCTTCTTATACATTTTGATCAGCATATACTCCTATTGGCACTGCCTCCGTTGTATGATATATAGCTTGTTTTAGTTTTATTATTAATTCGTTCTAAATCAGGCTTCTTACCAGCCACAAAGCCAACCCCCGCGTCGCTCTCTCTCCAAGGGGGGACACGGGCGGCACCTTTCTCCATCGCCAGCCGGTTCCCTACCTTGAGCCTCCCCAGCTTGGCCGCCACCGGAGATCGACGTCGGGTGTCCGGCATAGGGCGAGGATGGCGGCGGTCAAGCATTCTTCCCCACTCCTCTCTCCCATAGGGCATGGCGAGGCTGGCGAGGCGGCTACCAAGGCGATCGGCCGTGGCGCGAATCCAGCCTAGGTGCAGGTGGATCCGGCGTCCCCCGGCCCCGATCTGTCGTTCCCGCGCATGGAGCTGGTGGTCGGGGGCCTTTGGTGGTGGCATGCGGGCGAGGTGTCGCAGGCTCGGCGTGGCGATGCGGCTGCTCCCTCCTCAGCTCCGGTGGGCTCGGCGCACATCTAGAGGGCGAGGTGGAGGTGAGCCGTGTGGGCTGCTCGGTGACGGCGATATGGAGGCCACACAAGGGCTGTGCAGCGATGGCGGTCTGAGGTGCGCTGCTTGGGCTGCTCAGCCAGCGCGGAGGCTACTAGTTGTGCGGCAGCAGCCCCCGGTCGGATCTGCGAAGGAAGGTCGGGTCCGGTGGGTCGGAGCCCAATTTCGGCCCTACCGGCCTGGTGGTGGCTCAGAGGCCGCGTGTGGCGCGGTGACACGCGGCAACGGTGCGAACGGCCGTGCGAGAGGCGTCAACGGCGTGGGTGGCGACATCATTGCGACAAGGCGGCGTGCCCGCCGTGCATGGAGGGCCGATGAGTGTGGGGATTTTTTGCGCACAGCGCGTGGTGCCCGCGGGCACTGAGGCACGAAGGCCTGTGGTGGCGTGGCGTGGTGACTGCGATGGCAGCTGTTGCATGTTGCTGTAGTAGCATGGTGTGGCCGCAGTGGCATTGGTGGTTGGGTCGAGGAGGGTGGAGGCCATGTTGAGGACTCGAGGTGTGGGTGTTCATGGTTGTGGAAGGCTGTCGGGGAAAGGGTGTTGGCGCAGCAATTGGAGGGCAAGGCTTCTGCATGGCAGTTGAGAGCGATGGTTTGGTGGAACCGTGCGCTAGTGGTGTCCGCGAAGTTGGCAAGGAGGCCGTCGCGGGAGGAGGTGGCTAGCAGAGATGTGTGGCTGAAGTGGCCTGCGTGGTGTGGCGGCGAGCGATCCCACATAGCGATGGCTGTTTTCGGTGCAAGGAGACCCTTTTGTGGCAGTTGGAGGCCCCATGTTCATCTTGCTATCATCGGGAAAGCAACTTGGTTGCCGGGAGCTACGGTGTATGCACTGGATCTCGGTGGAAATGGGCAGCATGTGGATGACCAAAGGCAGCTGCTCATGTGTCAAGGTGACGGCTTGCAGCGGACTGTCGTGGCTAGCCATGCGTGGCATGGGCTAGTCTGGCAAGGGACAACGTCAAGTGATGGCGCAAGCAGTTTCGATGGTATGGCAGCTACACAACTTGCAGTGACCTATGGCGGCCAGCCCTGCATGGCAATGGCTGGCTCTGTATGGGGCATCGTTTGTAAAGATGGCGCAAGCGGTGACGATGGCTTTTCGACTTGCTGCCTTGATCGCCCAGCAACAGTGGCACAATGTGGCAACCGGGCTGGCGTTAGATTGGCATTTGCTGGTGGTGTGCTTCAGTGGTGGGGCGGTGTTGTGTGACGCGTGTTGAGGCCTTTTTCCAATCGCTGTTATGTTGTCGATAGATAGTTGCTTTTAGTTGTTGTGGTAGTTCCTTAGCTCTGTTGCTTTGTTGTGGTTTTTGACCCTTCGGGGTGGTTGTTGATACGTTGTACTGCTCAGTCTGAGCTTCTTCTTGTTTTTAATATAATCGGCAGCTCTCCTGCCTGATTAGTTTAAAAAAAATATATCTTCAACAAACATGGATGTTAGCTCTCAGTTTAGTTTTGCTTTGTGCATGCTGAGTTTTATCGGATTTCATGTTGAAAAGGTGCAAGCGCTCCTCGGGTAATCCATAAAGACGCCACATGTTTGATAATGCTTTTGTTTTTGTTTTCAATGGGAAGTTGTCCTAGAAGGCCATAAGTGGAACCAAACTTAGCCAAAATCAAGGCATGCCAAAATGCAAAGAGAACTTAATGAGTTGGAACAAAAGTGACATGCAGAAAGGTTAATGCAACCCTTCAATCTCTCATTCCTTAAGATATGGACCACGAGACAACGACAAAAAGGATAACCCGATAAAAGCATCTCCACTGGTCTCCCAATCTCCACCTCCAATGAGAAAAACCTGTAGTTTCAGGGATTTGAGAGCTCTAGCAGATCCCCATTCTAGCTCGTAATGACAATTTTTCAGCC